AATAATGATTGGATTCTAAAACTGTCAAACTACTAAACATTTATTATTATACTAAAATAATATTTTCAGGAACAGCTCATTTAATTTCTAAGTAACAATATAAATCTTTGATGTAAACTCTTGCCAAGGTTTGGTGCACTGCTTAGTAAATGTTTATGTGTTAACATAACGAATTAAACATATACTGTTACGTATAGGCTACAGGAGACAGACATGCATCGATTTTTTAGTTTTGTCGACTGGTTTCAGCTCAGCACAGGCCTATGCTATGGTTCTCGAGAACTGGTTGTTGCAGCTCTTGAATCACTAGTGCAGAACCGAGAACTGTTTCTTTCGGACACGTTCGATACGGAGAACCGATGAGCTGGAGATACTGCGCATGCGTGATAGCACCGTCTCTGAACAGAACTTTCTTTCGGCCGGCTGATCCCGTGCTGATATACGAGCACGCAGTAGTACGGGTGAACCCAGGACTTAAATGAGAGGGCGAATCGGCGAATTGTAAGTTTATTTAATAACAAATAAAATGATGAAGACCATTTATGCATTTTATATATTTAAAACATGTAAAACATCCGCGTTAGCACATCGACTAGGCTGCAGCAGGGTTCGTTTTCAAAATGTAAATGTAAGAAACTTATCCAAGATGATTATGACAATGCATACTATTATTTAACTGAAGTTGTGATTACAAATGCCTTTAATTTGAAGTATTTTTATCCGCCGGGATGATAGAATTGACGTCATTACGTGATGACGTAAAAGAACTGGTGAACCGGTTTTTTGAACCGGTTCATTAAAACGAACTGTCCGAAAGAACCGGTTCGCGGAAAAGAACCGGACTTCCCATCACTACATGGGATGATACCGGGTTGCGGAAAAGATTCCTAATTCTGGACGAAAGATTCTCTATCGAAAACAGGAAGAGCTAGATTCGGACATGGCCAAATGCTGCAAACTGCCAATGGATCGAGGTAAGACTGCTGAGTCTATATATACCCTCTTATCATTGGTTGCTGATTGCTGATTGCCGTCCACTCGTGTTAATTATCTGAACGTGCTCCTCCCGAACTTAGTTATTAACAAAACTTCATTTAGTATCGTTTTATAGGTCTCAGAGTGACTGGTAATAATGGCTCATTCCCATAGAAGTAAAACAAAAGGTAAAAATGTTTTAAGAGTTTAGGAATAACTGACACACAAAGGAATGTGGTCTCTAGGTACTTCCAAAGGTGTAAATTCATGAATGCTAATTTCCACTGTTCTTAGCAGATGGTCAAACTTCTCCCCCCAGGAAGTATGGTGGGGGAATACATAAAATTTTCACTAAACTCATGTTTTACATATCAAATAAGGTCATGCTGTATAAGGAAAATGCAGCGAGAGCTCAGGGCGGTTGTCTGTATTCAGATTAGCCCATGAGTTGAGGGTAACACGACTCTCAGCTCATGTAGCCACATGTCGGGTAAAGGATTTTCCTCTTTGTTCTAGAACATTTGATGGTGTGCATTGATTATCTTTCAAATGATTATGGAATTGTAATAATACATTTACCTGACATAATAAATTGTTATATTTGATTGTTCTAACAGACTTTAACTTTATTTTAATCAAACATTAACGTGTTTTATTGATGCACAGATATCATTGAAAAACCTTTTTAATTTTATGTCAGATTAAACGAGTTAATACATAAGATGACATGTATTGCATTTAATAAAAAAAATCCCCTTTCCATGGGAAAGACGGAACACACGTGAGACCTTCACCTCTAATTGTGTACCGCCATTGGATCGATTTAGTAGGCCTTACACCATCCTGACAGATGGGATGAGTCCGACAGAGTTCTGCTGGGGTTTGTCTACCCTTCTGGCCATGTAGCCTATACCTTGCGCATGTACCTTGCCTATATCTAATGCTGACTAATATATTTTCTTGCTTGCATAGGGTTCCCGTAACTTAAACCCAATCCCATATAATGCTGAGTATATGGGACATAAGATGCACTTGGACCAAAATGAAAAATTGGTCATGTTTGGAGTGACTCATGTGATTGCTGTAGATGGACACAGCAAGAAAATTGTTGCAAATGCGACTATGCCTGTAAAAAACAATCTAGCCATCTATGAAGAGGTGTACAGGTCAGTGTTGTATGTTATGTTTGATCAAACAGATTTTATCAATTGTAATAATATTAATAACTGAGCATTTCATCTATGTTTATGTAGACCTGCAGTAACACATTATGGAATGTGGGATCAACTTCGTGTGGATCATGGCAAAGAGTTTTACCTGTGCCTCTTAAGGCTGGGCAAAAAAATCGATTTTTCGATTAATCGTTTTTTAAAATGTGTTCGATTCAAAATCGATTCTCAACGGCCGGAATCGATTTTTTTCCATAAAAATAGGGGCTCGCGAACGCGGTGCTGCATCTTCTCGTCTCTCTGCACTAGGCAAGCGCTGCAGCTGTCGATACACACACGCGTTTAGGAGTCGGGACATGACGGAATATTCACTTAACAATCGGGCCAGCATTGCATCGTAACCTATGATCGTAACTAACGTTTATCATTTTCACGTCTTTTTGAGTTTTACGAGCAATGTTAAACCATCCCGTGCTCGCGCACTCTCAGAGATGTCTTTCACTGCGTGCACAGTAACGTTACAGCCTAAATCTGCCTCACAAACAGCTCGCCAGAAACAAACGTTTTATCCCTGGATTATATCACTTTAACAGTTAAAACACGCGACATTATGTCAAAACTCTGGTCTTGGTGAGTAACCTCCTAAAGACAGTCGGTAATGTCTTAAATTAGCATTAAACGTGTGTGACAGAAAGTTAATGAAACAGAAATGGATTCCCGCACTAGTTCTTAAAGTGAACGCAGCCATTTGTGTCAGTCATTAATTCTGTTGTCATAACAACAGAATATAGTATTAATTGTAAGCAATCAGAATTAATAGCCTTTGTATTTAATTCAGTCTGGACTAAAAAGACTATCCAGTGTTATTTTACATTGGATTTATTCAGTTTCTGTAGTATTTCTGACATACCCAAAAAACTACCCCAAAATGTCTCTTAATTTGTGTCTTTATTCTATTGAATTTATTTGTGCTACTTTTTTCAATTTAATTCAAAGATTGAAATCAAGCTTCCATACATAAACTCTTAAAACAAAAATAAACAAAAAATTACATTACCATTTAGGTAAGATCAATGTAAAAAAACAAAAGTCTAGATATTTATATATTTATTTATCTATATCTATCTTAAACATAAAGTAACATGATACTGTTTGATCAAGCTGTGCGACTGTTCTGACTTTTTTTGCATATTGCATCAAAATCCTGTTTATTCTCTGTATGCATTTAGTGTACCTAAAATAAAAAGAGTTTTATATACAGGTTTATGGCTCTTAATTTCCTTGTATTAATTAACCACTAGTAAACTTATGTCCACTGTTCTTTTTTATAAATATAGGATTTGTATTACATCTTCATTATAGTCGAATCGAGAATCAAATCAGGAATCGAAATCGAAAATTTAATCGAGAATCGAAATCGAATCGAACTGAGAGCTTGTGAATCGAAATCGAATCGGAATTGAAATGTGAATCGATACCCAGCCCTAGTGCCTCTACATGCAAGAGAGACTGTCAGAATATAGACACAACCAGCAAAGACAGCCATACCTCCAAACACAGTCAACAAGGGTAATGTCAACCATCTGCATCTAACATTACACCACTGGTGAAAAGTAACTAAGTATATTAAGCCAAGTACTTCACTTAAGTACAATTCTGAGGAACTCGTACTTTACTTGAGCATATCCATGTCTTGCTACTTTATGCTCCACTACATAATGAGTAATCTAATTATTTCCAATATATCAATAACTTTGGCCAATTGTCAAGAATGGTTACAACCAGTACTTCTGATAATACTTATTCTAGGATTTGGAATACAGAACTTTTATCTTATGATGTTTTAAACATTGTGTGGTCTTGGGTATTTTACACAACAAGGTAATTCTTAGTCTATTCACTAGTTCCCAACTGTTAATAACATAAAAACAGTTGTTAACACATTGTTAACAGACCTCCATCATCTCCTTTTTAAAAAAACAACACAGAATCACACAGTGGAAAGGATGTGGCCAGAAATTAACAACAGAGTGAATTATCCACTAAAGGAGGCCCTCATCCAGCTACAAGATCAGGAGGCCATAGATATGGAGGACAGTCTGACAAGGTTTTGCACATCTAATCTGACCTGCCAGATTGGCATAAACAGATTTGTGAAATCATGGAATGCTCACAGGATTCCAGGTATCTCACATTTCCCTTACAAGTTTATTCAGTTTAAGTGTTTTGTCATTGAACATCACAACAAACATTTCTTGTCTTGTTAAAGGGAGAGGGATACCAAATCACCTAGCAGGGACCGGAACACCAAGAAAAATCACAACCGATCTTCTACCAGATGCCACAGTTGCAGCAGACATGTATGACAGGAACATGGGATCCTCCCTCACCAGAGTATCTTCATTCGGAAGTGACCCCTTTCTGTCTGAGGCAGACAAAGTAAGAGCAGAGCAGCACTTTGCACGTTATTACCCTGACCTTTCAGTTATTTTTGACAGTGCTGTCAATTACAACTATGCTCCCTTCAAAGAGGCCTTGATCTACCTCATTGATGTAACAAAGACTTGTTCCTAATTTCATGTGCACTGGATTGTGAGGAGCCTTGTTAGATTGATGGACATCTCTCTGTACGCCATTATGCAGGCACTACAACAGTAAAGGGTGTAAATAGACCCTGATGGTATTTACCAAACAAGTTTTACTTTACGTGTATACAAGTGTCACTGTTATATGTCAACTGCTTATTTTGTTGCCATTAATAAATCAATTTACTGTCATTGTCTCCATATTAAACTTTATTCACAGCGTCGTTTTATGGAGAAAAAAAAAACATTTATTTTGCTTTTGTACAGAAACACATTGTGTAAACAAAGTAAGACAAGCTTTGCAGATCGCCACAGAACAGCCTGTCACAACACATTGCCACGTTTAGGCCTAGTAGCTCTTATTAAATCACTGTGGACTGTGAACAATGATGTAGAATAAAAACATCTTGCCACAGTTACTGTAGGCCTACTAGCTCTTATAAAACTACTGTGAGGTGGGAACAATGATGTAACATAAAACATTGTAACATTTTAGCTCTTAAAACTCCAGAGCTAAGAACATTGATGCAACATATAAAACAACAATCCTCAATATCAAAAATATTTATAACATGATATAACATGATAAGGAAGGATTAATGGCAAGAAAAGCAGCATTTACTCTTCGTGTGCCAGCTCTTTCATGACATTTACGACACCAGAAAGGCCAGTGACTCTGTGAATGTTGATCGAAAAATTATCTGCTCGACACTTCAAACACATTGAGGAAGTCTGAAGCCACACAGTAGTGCAGGATCTGCATCCAACCAAACTTCCACAGCATGCCGCAAATACTGGATCGTCCATGATTCCTGCCAGCGTAAGAAATAAATATTAGAGGTCTGAAAACACAATACAAGATATACTAAATGAAGAATGAAAAATATTTTTCCAATTGAATGTCAGACAGCGTTTCAAAAAGCATCCTTTATATAATAAAGGCGGTCCTATATAAGAGTCCATGTATGAGATAAGTTTTAACAAAGAAATAACAAATTCTGTCTACAGATGCTCCAAGCACACCCCGTACCACTTAATATCACAGATGTAAATTCCTGAATTATGCTTAAGGAATGGATTTGCTTTTATGTATTGTTTTCCTTAATCTCAACTGGCTACACAAAGAACACCAGGAGCAGGACACTTAAGATTTTAAATGACTACATCATAAATTCCAGCAAACAACAACAATATGTTTTTCAGGGTGAACACATAATTTTGTGTCTTCCTAAGGACAAGACTTACCTCTGCAAACCAGACAAGTGAATGTATCCCTAACATTCCTGGACTGTTCTTCAGTCAGTACCAATGTTGTGTTTCTATTTCGATGGACCAGATCAGAGAGTCCCTGAATGGCAGTTGTCACCTCAGACAAACCCTGAGCAGCCAGGACAAGCTCCTCGATCTTCTCGAACACACTGTCCAGTCCAGCCTCATCATCTCTGTGTCTGTGAAAGACAAATGTCACATGCACATGTTAAATAATTAGAAACTGTTAATGTGTGCAAATGATATCACATGCCATTACATTCAGATTGATTATGGGCACAGAAATGATTGCTTTTGTGGCAATCAAATATTGCATAAAGTGGCCATTGACTGAAGCGGACCAATTGTAGGAGATATAGTTGTATCAAAGAAAAGACTCAGATATACATGGCAGTGTTTCTGGACGGACTGACAGAGAAATGTGCCATTATTTTAGGTGCTTTCATGCATTCTCTTTGATCATTTGTTGTATCAGACCAGCTCTGCTTTGTCAGGAGGAAAACGTGAAGGGGGTGTAACAGAAGCCACTGGTAGTTCGACTTACGAGATTCTTCGCCTCTTTTGTTGCACAGCTTGGAAATCAACCTCTGGTATAGCCATAATTTTTCGCGCGTTCTGCTTCCAATAAAAGGTGCCTAATTGAGAACAAAATATACAGTATGTAGAAATAAAAGCTCACTCTTGAAGATGGGCATGTGAATGCATATTCATTTGATTTTTATCTGAAATGGCAAATGTTTGACATTGTTATTGGCTCCAGTTTAAAATGTGAGACTATAAATGTTGACATCACATTTTCAAGGCACCTAAAGTATAATTTGAGATGGTAAATAAAATTGCACAAATGGAGCACCTCTTGTTCCTTCTGAGTCCAATATTTCCACTCCATTGTGGTCTGTCAGAATGAGTTGTTCAGTGCTTCCTAAGGCATCTTTTACTTTGGCAATCATGGATGGGACACTGGCCTCCTGCTCAGTAAATCTTACAACCACCATTCTGCTGTTCACAAGCTTTCCACTCCGTACTTCTCCCAAACTGACAGTCCTGGAATTCAGAACAACTACATTTAGGTTCATTCAAAATTAATAAGAAGTTTTGATAGATTAATTTTGAACATACAAGAGAACATTCATATTTTTATTCTATTGACAAAGGCATGGACATTGAAAAAAATGTTCCTTACCTTGTAAAGTATTTCATGGATTGAGCCCTGGGTGGCACTGAGGGGCTTGCTGAGCTAGCCAACCTGGAGAAGCGAAACTGGCCACTTGTGGAAGGAGTAGGTAATGCCCCTGCAGCAATGTTAACACCTGAATCCAGCTCAGCCCCGGCCCCGTGTACTTCGTAATGAGCCTTGTCCTTGAGGTCGAATGAACTGAAGAGGCCCTCTACTCCAGGGAAAACTGCCACATTGGTATCGTCAGTGAGGTACAGGCTCTGGCTGGTTACCTAAAAAGAAGAAAGTCCTGGTAACAAAAATCCTGGTAATTTAATTCAATAACCGTATCCACTATTGTTAGGTGCATAAATCCACTACTACTATCGGTTACTAGTTTATTAGGTTTATTATGCAAGTAAATTAATGTAATACAATACAACAGTCCAGCAAAAAAACATGTACAGTTATTACAATGCAAAAGTTATGTCATAAAGTACATTTTTGTTGCAACTGTATGATAATTTTAGAGGATGGACCTTGAACCGTTTGGTTCCCAATGAAGTCTATTATATGGAGAACATCCTGGAATGTTTTCATCAAAAAATCTTAATTTCTTTTCGACTGAAGAAAGAAAGACATGGACATCTTGGATGACCATAGTATGTCACATTTCCCTTACAAGAAAAATTATAGAAACGCCCCTCTGTACAACACAATACTTCAACATTGCCTAGTTACTAACACCTATGCGGCTGCCAACTAAGTTTAGCTGTCACTTACTTAACCCACTGGGTTTCTTCGTAAATGGGTTACACTTAGCTTCCTCCCGGTCAAAAATGGACGAACCCTTAAAATTTAATTGAACTTTTTAATTTAACTTAAAATTTAATTTAATTTTTTTTTTAATACCCAAATGTCAAAAAAGTTACTCGAATCAATGATCAGCATTAAAAAAGCCACATTCTTACAGATCATTAAAAAAAAGTTTAAAGTTTGTTTAGGGTTTAGTTACAATTTATCAAATCAGAATCATCTCCTTGATTTTTTTTTTTTTTTTTTTTTTTGTAATACAACAAAAGTCACCAAGTTTCACCCCCATCCGATAAAGCAAAAAAAATAAAAATAAATAAACAATAGGGGATTGTCACGCTTCCGGGTTTCATGGGCGGGATTTGTCAACTTTGTGCATGTCCAATTCCGACGCAGTTCAACAATGGCTGAGACGAAGGCTATATAATGTCACTGCTCTGTTCCACTTTGTAAATCTAACCAACAACGCCAACCCTACTTAAGTTTTCATGGATTCCCGACTGAATTGGCTTTATGCACAGCTGCTCTACTTCCTGAACTTAAACCAGCTCCTTGTTTCCTGTCTGCTATTATTGGACAAGCTTGATTAATTCAGGTGTGTCTGATTATTGTTGCCGTGACTACTGAGGTCAGGCACACCTGAACTAATCAATTTGTCCAATAATGGCAGACAGGAAACAAGGAGCTGGCTTAAGTTCAAGAAGTAGTGCAGCTGTGCATAAAGCCAATTGAGTATAAGGAAGAAGTGGATTAAAAACTTTAAAATAAAACAAGGCAGCATGTTTGTTTGCAGCTAGCACTTTAGTGTATCAGACTAATTTACCAGGGATGCCGTATAAATAAACTTAGTGTATTCCGTCATCAGTTCGCCAGCGAGATCAGTGATTCAACGGAAGTGGCAGTGCACAAAGATCACTGAATCCGGAAGTCCTACATATCAGCGTGATAATCCACCTATTCAAAAAGTAAACGTTTTTGATCATTTTCTGACGAAGAAGCCCAGAGGGTTAACAATTCACCAAATGTTACACATTCAAAACAATGCTAGCAAACTAGAAATCATTAACTTTAGTTAGCTAGCGTTAAGTAACCTTTGTGAGAAAAACTGTTTGAGAATAATAGCAACATTCGATTGGCGATTGCCATACCTGAAATATTTTAGAAATCTTTTCCACCGTCATGTCCTCCTCTCTCAGCGTCACTCTTTTTGTGTCTCTGAAAAGCACAAACGATGGATCAATAATGTCGCACAGTAGTATGGAGTTAAACTGCTCCGTAGGCTTGATACCTGTTCCACGAGGTTGGAGATTATCCACTGCGCATGCGCGAAACAGAATTGATCCCGCCGTGGGGAATAGGAAAACAAAGAAAAATAGAGACAACGTAAATTCGACCCATTATTTCGTTTTGGTTTCCTTGTTTATTATATTTCCCGTTTCGAGCTGAAACCAAATCAAACGAACAAAAATTTTCATATTTGGTTCATACAGAAAAACAAAACATTGATTCGTTTTTTCGTTTTTGGTTTGCCAGATGAAATGGAATAATCGAATGATCGGATGATACACGGACCTATTCACAATCTAAAATTGGTATTCTACTTTTTTATTAGCTTACCTGAAATAAAGAATCCCGATTCAGGCCTCTTTCATTCTCCCATAAAAGAAAAAAAGAAAGAAAGAAAGAAAGAAATATGAGTTCTATTCACAATCTAAAATTGGTATTCTACATTTCTCTTTCCTCCTCCATTCAAATGTTGCAGTTTATTGTTTCAATGAATAAGTTTTAAAAAGAAAAATGTTTAATTATGAGTTCTATTCACAATCTAAAATTGGTATTCTACTTTTTTATTAGCCTACCTGAAATAAAGAATCATCCCGATTCAGGCTTCTTTCATTCTCCCATAAAAGAAAAAAAGAAAGAAAGAAAGAAAGAAATATGAGTTCTATTCACAATCTAAAATTGGTATTCTACTTTTTTCTCTTTCCTCCTCCATTCAAATGTTGCAGTTTGTTGTTTCAATGAATAAGTTTTAAAAAGAAAAATGTTTAATTATGAGTTCTATTCACAATCTAAAATTGGTATTCTACTTTTTTATTAGCTTACCTGAAATAAAGAATCATCCCGATTCAGGCTTCTTTCATTCTCCCATAAAAGAAAAAAAAGAAAGAAAGAAAGAAAGAAATATGAGTTCTATTCGCAATCTAAAATTGGTATTCTACATTTCTCTTTCCTCCATTCAAATGTTGCAGTTTGTTGTTTTAATGAATAAGTTTTAAAAAGAAAAATGTTTAATTATGAGTTCTATTCACAATCTAAAATTGGTATTCTACTTTTTTATTAGCTTACCTGAAATAAAGAATCATCCCGATTCAGGCTTCTTTCATTCTCCCATAAAAGAAAAAAAGAAAGAAAGAAAGAAAGAAAGAAAGAAAGAAATATGAGTTCTATTCACAATCTAAAATTGGTATTCTACTTTTTTCTCTTTCCTCCTCCATTCAAATGTTGCAGTTTATTGTTTCAATGAATAAGTTTTAAAAAGAAAAATGTTTAATTATGAGTTCTATTCACAATCTAAAATTGGTATTCTACTTTTTTCTCTTTCCTCCTCCATTCAAATGTTGCAGTTTGTTGTTTCAATGAATAAGTTTTAAAAAGAAAAATTTTTAATTATGAGTTCTATTCACAATCTAAAATTGGTATTCTACTTTTTTATTAGCTCACCTGAAATAAAGAATCATCCCGATTCAGGCTTCTTTCATTCTCCCATAAAAGAAAAAAAGAAAGAAAGAAAGAAAGAAATATGAGTTCTATTCACAATCTAAAATTGGTATTCTACATTTCTCTTTCCTCCATTCAAATGTTGCAGTTTGTTGTTTCAATGAATAAGTTTTAAAAAGAAAAATGTTTAATTATGAGTTCTATTCACAATCTAAAATTGGTATTCTACTTTTTTATTAGCTCACCTGAAATAAAGAATCATCCCGATTCAGGCTTCTTTCATTCTCCCATAAAAGAAAAAAAGAAAGAAAGAAAGAAAGAAAGAAAGAAATATGAGTTCTATTCACAATCTAAAATTGGTATTCTACATTTCTCTTTCCTCCTCCATTCAAATGTTGCAGTTTGTTGTTTCAATGAATAAGTTTTAAAAAGAAAAATGTTTAATTATGAGTTCTATTCACAATCTAAAATTGGTATTCTACTTTTTTATTAGCTTACCTGAAATAAAGAATCATCCCGATTCAGGCTTCTTTCATTCTCCCATAAAAGAAAAAAAAGAAAGAAAGAAAGAAAGAAATATGAGTTCTATTCACAATCTAAAATTGGTATTCTACATTTCTCTTTCCTCCATTCAAATGTTGCAGTTTGTTGTTTTAATGAATAAGTTTTAAAAAGAAAAATGTTTAATTATGAGTTCTATTCACAATCTAAAATTGGTATTCTACTTTTTTATTAGCTTACCTGAAATAAAGAATCATCCCGATTCAGGCTTCTTTCATTCTCCCATAAAAGAAAAAAAGAAAGAAAGAAAGAAAGAAAGAAAGAAAGAAAGAAAGAAAGAAAGAAAGAAAGAAAGAAAGAAAGAAAGAAAGAAAGAAAGAAAGAAATATGAATTCTATTCACAATCTAAAATTGGTATTCTACATTTCTCTTTCCTCCTCCATTCAAATGTTGCAGTTTATTGTTTCAATGAATAAGTTTTAAAAAGAAAAATGTTTAATTATGAGTTCTATTCACAATCTAAAATTGGTATTCTACTTTTTTATTAGCTTACCTGAATTAAAGAATCATCCCGATTCAGGCTTCTTTCATTCTCCCATAAAAGAAAAAAAAGAAAGAAAGAAAGAAAGAAATATGAGTTCTATTCACAATCTAAAATTGGTATTCTACATTTCTCTTTCCTCCATTCAAATGTTGCAGTTTGTTGTTTTAATGAATAAGTTTTAAAAAGAAAAATGTTTAATTATGAGTTCTATTCACAATCTAAAATTGGTATTCTACTTTTTTATTAGCTTACCTGAAATAAAGAATCATCCCGATTCAGGCTTCTTTCATTCTCCCATAAAAGAAAAAAAGAAAGAAAGAAAGAAAGAAAGAAATATGAGTTCTATTCACAATCTAAAATTGGTATTCTACATTTCTCTTTCCTCCTCCATTCAAATGTTGCAGTTTGTTGTTTCAATGAATAAGTTTTAAAAAGAAAAATGTTTAATTATGAGTTCTATTCACAATCTAAAATTGGTATTCTACTTTTTTATTAGCTCACCTGAAATAAAGAATCATCCCGATTCAGGCTTCTTTCATTCTCCCATAAAAGAAAAAAGAAAGAAAGAAAGAAAGAAAGAAATATGAGTTCTATTCACAATCTAAAATTGGTATTCTACATTTCTCTTTCCTCCTCCATTCAAATGTTGCAGTTTGTTGTTTCAATGAATAAGTTTTAAAAAGAAAAATGTTTAATTATGAGTTCTATTCACAATCTAAAATTGGTATTCTACTTTTTTATTAGCTTACCTGAAATAAAGAATCATCCCGATTCAGGCTTCTTTCATTCTCCCATAAAAGAAAAAAAGAAAGAAAGAAAGAAAGAAAGAAATATGAGTTCTATTCACAATCTAAAATTGGTATTCTACATTTCTCTTTCCTCCATTCAAATGTTGCAGTTTGTTGTTTCAATGAATAAGTTTTAAAAAGAAAAATGTTTAATTATGAGTTCTATTCACAATCTAAAATTGGTATTCTACTTTTTTATTAGCTTACCTGAAATAAAGAATCATCCCGATTCAGGCTTCTTTCATTCTCCCATAAAAGAAAAAAAGAAAGAAAGAAAGAAAGAAAGAAATATGAGTTCTATTCACAATCTAAAATTGGTATTCTACTTTTCTCTTTCCTCCTCCATTCAAATGTTGCAGTTTGTTGTTTCAATGAATAAGTTTTAAAAAGAAAAATGTTTAATTATGAGTTCTATTCACAATCTAAAATTGGTATTCTACTTTTTTATTAGCTTACCTGAAATAAAGAATCATCCCGATTCAGGCTTCTTTCATTCTCCCATAAAAGAAAAAAAGAAAGAAAGAAAGAAAGAAAGAAATATGAGTTCTATTCACAATCTAAAATTGGTATTCTACTTTTCTCTTTCCTCCTCCATTCAAATGTTGCAGTTTGTTGTTTCAATGAATAAGTTTTAAAAAGAAAAATGTTTAATTATGAGTTCTATTCACAATCTAAAATTGGGATTCTACTTTTTTATTAGCCTACCTGAAATAAAGAATCATCCCGATTCAGGCTTCTTTCATTCTCCCATAAAAGAAAAAAAGAAAGAAAGAAAGAAAGAAATATGAGTTCTATTCACAATCTAAAATTGGTATTCTACATTTCTCTTTCCTCCTCCATTCAAATGTTGCAGTTTGTTGTTTCAATGAATAAGTTTTAAAAAGAAAAATGTTTAATTATGAGTTCTATTCACAATCTAAAATTGGTATTCTACTTTTTTATTACCTCACCTGAAATAAAGAATCATCCCGATTCAGGCTTCTTTCATTCTCCCATAAAAGAAAAAAAGAAAGAAAGAAAGAATGAAAGAAATAAATATGAGTTCTATTCACAATCTAAAATTGGTATTCTACATTTCTCTTTCCTCCTCCATTCAAATGTTGCAGTTTATTGTTTCAATAAATAAGTTTTAAAAAGAAAAATTTTTAATTATGAGTTCTATTCACAATCTAAAATTGGGATTCTACTTTTTTATTAGCCTACCTGAAATAAAGAATCATCCCGATTCAGGCCTCTTTCATTCTCGCATGAAAGAAAAAAAGAAAGAAAGAAAGAAAGAAATATGAGTTCTATTCACAATCTAAAATTGGTATTCTACATTTCTCTTTCCTCCTCCATTCAAATGTTGCAGTTTGTTGTTTCAATGAATAAGTTTTAAAAAGAAAAATGTTTAATTATGAGTTCTATTCACAATCTAAAATTGGTATTCTACTTTTTTATTAGCTCACCTGAAATAAAGAATCATCCCGATTCAGGCTTCTTTCATTCTCCCATAAAAGAAAAAAAGAAAGAAAGAAAGAAAGAAATATGAGTTCTATTCACAATCTAAAATTGGTATTCTACATTTCTCTTTCCTCCTCCATTCAAATGTTGCAGTTTGTTGTTTCAATGAATAAGTTTTAAAAAGAAAAATGTTTAATTATGAGTTCTATTCACAATCTAAAATTGGTATTCTACTTTTTTATTAGCTTACCTGAAATAAAGAATCATCCCGATTCAGGCTTCTTTCATTCTCCCATAAAAGAAAAAAAGAAAGAAAGAAAGAAAGAAAGAAATATGAGTTCTATTCACAATCTAAAATTGGTATTCTACATTTCTCTTTCCTCCATTCAAATGTTGCAGTTTGTTGTTTTAATGAATAAGTTTTAAAAAGAAAAATGTTTAATTATGAGTTCTATTCACAATCTAAAATTGGTATTCTACTTTTTTATTAGCTTACCTGAAATAAAGAATCATCCCGATTCAGGCTTCTTTCATTCTCCCATAAAAGAAAAAAAGAAAGAAAGAAAGAAAGAAAGAAATATGAGTTCTATTCACAATCTAAAATTGGTATTCTACTTTTTTCTCTTTCCTCCTCCATTCAAATGTTGCAGTTTGTTGTTTCAATGAATAAGTTTTAAAAAGAAAAATGTTTAATTATGAGTTCTATTCACAATCTAAAATTGGTATTCTACTTTTTTATTAGCTTACCTGAAATAAAGAATCATCCCGATTCAGGCTTCTTTCATTCTCCCATAAAAGAAAAAAAGAAAGAAAGAAAGAAAGAAAGAAATATGAGTTCTATTCACAATCTAAAATTGGTATTCTACATTTCTCTTTCCTCCATTCAAATGTTGCAGTTTGTTGTTTCAATGAATAAGTTTTAAAAAGAAAAATGTTTAATTATGAGTTCTATTCACAATCTAAAATTGGTATTCTACTTTTTTATTAGCTTACCTGAAATAAAGAATCATCCCGATTCAGGCTTCTTTCATTCTCCCATAAAAGAAAAAAAGAAAGAAAGAAAGAAAGAAAGAAATATGAGTTCTATTCACAATCTAAAATTGGTATTCTACATTTCTCTTTCCTCCTCCATTCAAATGTTGCAGTTTGTTGTTTCAATGAATAAGTTTTAAAAAGAAAAATGTTTAATTATGAGTTCTATTCACAATCTAAAATTGGTATTCTACTTTTTTATTAGCTTACCTGAAATAAAGAATCATCCCGATTCAGGCTTCTTTCATTCTCCCATAAAAGAAAAAAAGAAAGAAAGAAAGAAAGAAAGAAATATGAGTTCTATTCACAATCTAAAATTGGTATTCTACTTTTTCTCTTTCCTCCTCCATTCAAATGTTACAGTTTATTGTTTCAATGAATAAGTTTTAAAAAGAAAAATTTTTAATTATGAGTTCTATTCACAATCTAAAATTGGGATTCTACTTTTTTATTAGCCTACCTGAAATAAAGAATCATCCCGATTCAGGCCTCTTTCATTCTCGCATGAAAGAAAAAAAGAAAGAAAGAAAGAAAGAAATATGAGTTCTATTCACAATCTAAAATTGGTATTCTACATTTCTCTTTCCTCCTCCATTCAAATGTTGCAGTTTGTTGTTTCAATGAATAAGTTTTAAAAAGAAAAATGTTTAATTATGAGTTCTATTCACAATCTAAAATTGGTATTCTACTTTTTTATTACCTCACCTGAAATAAAGAATCATCCCGATTCAGGCTTCTTTCATTCTCCCATAAAAGAAAAAAAGAAAGAAAGAAAGAAAGAAATATGAGTTCTATTCACAATCTAAAATTGGTATTCTACATTTCTCTTTCCTCCATTCAAATGTTGCAGTTTGTTGTTTCAATGAATAAGTTTTAAAAAGAAAAATGTTTAATTATGAGTTCTATTCACAATCTAAAATTGGTATTCTACTTTTTTATTAGCTTACCTGAAATAAAGAATCATCCCGATTCAGGCTTCTTTCATTCTCCCATAAAAGAAAAAAAGAAAGAAAGAAAGAAAGAAATATGAGTTCTATTCACAATCTAAAATTGGTATTCTACATTTCTCTTTCCTCCTCCATTCAAATGTTGCAGTTTGTTGTTTTAATGAATAAGTTTTAAAAAGAAAAATGTTTAATTATGAGTTCTATTCACAATCTAAAATTGGTATTCTACTTTTTTATTAGCTTACCTGAAATAAAGAATCATCCCGATTCAGGCTTCTTTCATTCTCCCATAAAAGAAAAGAAAGAAAGAAAGAAAGAAAGAAAGAAAGAAAGAAAGAAATATGAGTTCTATTCACAATCTAAAATTGGTATTCTACATTTCTCTTTCCTCCATTCAAATGTTGCAGTTTGTTGTTTTAATGAATAAGTTTTAAAAAGAAAAATGTTTAATTATGAGTTCTATTCACAATCTAAAATTGGTATTCTACTTTTTTATTAGCTTACCTGAAATAAAGAATCATCCCGATTCAGGCTTCTTTCATTCTCCCATAAAAGAAAAAAAGAAAGAAAGAAAGAAAGAAAGAAAGAAAGAAAGAAAGAAAGAAAGAAAGAAAGAAAGAAAGAAAGAAAGAAAGAAAGAAAGAAAGAAAGAAAGAAAGAAAGAAAGAAAGAAAGAAAGAAATATGAGTTCTATTCACAATCTAAAATTGGTATTCTACTTTTTTCTCTTTCCTCCTCCATTCAAATGTTGCAGTTTGTTGTTTCAATGAATAAGTTTTAAAAAGAAAAATGTTTAATTATAAGTTCTATTCACAATCTAAAATTGGTATTCTACTTTTTTATTAGCTTACCTGAAATAAAGAATCATCCCGATTCAGGCTTCTTTCATTCTCCAATAAAAGAAAAAAAGAAAGAAAGAAAGAAAGAAATATGAGTTCTATTCACAATCTAAAATTGGTATTCTACATTTCTCTTTCCTCCATTCAAATGTTGCAGTTTGTTGTTTCAATGAATAAGTTTAAAAAAGAAAAATGTTTAATTATGAGTTCTATTCACAATCTAAAATTGGTATTCTACTTTTTTATTAGCTTACCTGAAATAAAGAATCATCCCGATTCAGGCTTCTTTCATTCTCCCATAAAAGAAAAAAAGAAAGAAAGAAAGAAATATGAGTTCTATTCACAATCTAAAATTGGTATTCTACATTTCTCTTTCCTCCATTCAAATGTTGCAGTTTATTGTTTCAATGAATAAGTTTTAAAAAGAAAAATGTTTAATTATGAGTTCTATTCACAATCTAAAATTGGTATTCTACTTTTTTATTAGCTCACCTGAAATAAAGAATCATCCCGATTCAGGCTTCTTTCATTCTCCCATAAAAGAAAAAAAGAAAGAAAGAAAGAAATATGAGTTCTATTCACAATCTAAAATTGGTATTCTACATTTCTCTTTCCTCCTCCATTCAAATGTTGCAGTTTGTTGTTTCAATGAATAAGTTTTAAAAAGAAAAATGTTTAATTATGAGTTCTATTCACAATCTAAAATTGGTATTCTACTTTTTTATTAGCTTACCTGAAATAAAGAATCATCCCGATTCAGGCCTCTTTCATTCTCGCATGAAAGAAAAAAAGAAAGAAAGAAAGAAAGAAATATGAGTTCTATTCACAATCTAAAATTGGTATTCTACATTTCTCTTTCCTCCTCCATTCAAATGTTTCAATGAATAAGTTTTAAAAAGAAAAATGTTTAATTATGAGTTCTATTCACAATCTAAAATTGGTATTCTACTTTTTTATTACCTCACCTGAAATAAAGAATCATCCCGATTCAGGCTTCTTTCATTCTCCCATAAAAGAAAAAAAGAAAGAAAGAAAGAAAGAAATATGAGTTCTATTCACAATCTAAAATTGGTATTCTACATTTCTCTTTCCTCCATTCAAATGTTGCAGTTTGTTGTTTCAATGAATAAGTTTTAAAAAGAAAAATGTTTAATTATGAGTTCTATTCACAATCTAAAATTGGTATTCTACTTTTTTATTAGCTCACCTGAAATAAAGAATCATCCCGATTCAGGCTTCTTTCATTCTCCCATAAAAGAAAAAAAGAAAGAAAGAAAGAAAGAAAGAAATATGAGTTCTATTCACAATCTAAAATTGGTATTCTACATTTCTCTTTCCTCCTCCATTCAAATGTTGCAGTTTGTTGTTTTAATGAATAAGTTTTAAAAAGAAAAATGTTTAATTATGAGTTCTATTCACAATCTAAAATTGGTATTCTACTTTTTTATTAGCTTACCTGAAATAAAGAATCATCCCGATTCAGGCTTCTTTCATTCTCCCATAAAAGAAAGAAAGAAAGAAAGAAAGAAAGAAAGAAAGAAAGAAAGAAAGAAAGAAAGAAAGAAAGAAAGAAAGAAAGAAAGAAAGAAAGAAAGAAAGAAAGAAAGAAAGAAAGAACCTAATTTCACATTATTTTCTTTCCACAGACAAGTCCAATGGTTTAGTTGTATTTATTTATTTTAGTTGTTAGTTATCTTCTTTCCTTCTGTCCCTGTCATCTCATTTAGTAGTGGTTTCCTGCATTCTGCATGTTTTGTTTTTTTCTTTGTGTGCTGTTTCTTTGGTTTTACTTTGCACAAAATCATTACTTTTTTTTCTTAGGCTATTGATTCCCGTGATCTTGTTTATAAATTCCGATTCAGCCATTAGCCTACCTTCGTGATCACGCAAAGCGGTCTGGAGAGGCGGTCTGTTCAGAATTACAACCAACATAAAATATAAGTGTGCATGTACAAATTTGCAGTAATGTTCGGTAAAAATAAACTTTATTAACATAAAATGAAACCGGAGAGATAGTTAATGATCCATAACTGTTAACGGGATTAATTTCAGCATGGCTAATGTGGTTACCATAAGTTACCATAAGTTAGCTAACTTTAATGAAGAGTTGGTCATGTAAGCTATAGCTTGCTGCAATTAATGCATTATCTTCCAATAAGCATTAACTAAAACTGGCTACATAAAATGTACTGACTAGATTCACGAGAGGTCGGCTAATGTGTGTAAAAGTAAAACAATACAGTAATTTCATTAATTTACCAGCTCCACGACACGCGTTAGTTCCTCATTCCGGAGTTCCTATGGCGGTCTATGGGAGTGTCGTAACTCTCTCTCTCTATGGCTCTCTGGACTACACTATTACAGGCTAAAGATTTTTTGTATAGAGTTGTTTACTTAAAACCTGTGTCTTTGTTCAGTAATCTTTGTCCTTGTTCAGAAAATGTTTAGTAACCATTACAAGCAATGCCAATAAACTGTTTTATTCTTATAAAAATGCATGTGTTCTGTGTACTTTATAACATTTTGAGGGCAATTGGGTGATGACAACAGAATAAGCAATTATATTTTTAAATTAATTTTCATCCAAACGAGGCGATTGAAAGCCCTGATAGGTCTGGTCACGACTTTGGAATTGTTGTCTGATGGTTGAAACCACACGAGAGGCTTCTTCTGCTCTTGCTTAAAACACCATCAGCCCAGCATATAGCCTGTCTGTATGCACTGTACTGGTATTGCCTAGGGATAAGTAGGAAAGATTCTTCAGAATGCTGGATATGTACACGTTACATCTGTATCAGTATATTTAAAGTAGCCTGCCTCCTCTGTATGGATAGAAAATTGTTATATTACAAGACACAAATTCAGATAGGCTTCTCAGAGCCTGTTTTATTACAGGTTTGAATGAATGAAATGTCTCTTCTGTATTAGAAAAATAAATATGTAATTATTTTAGGTTTGAATGAATGAAATGTCTCTTCTGTATTAGAAAAATAAATATATAATTAAGAAATAACTAAAATAAATACCTCCAAATGTAACAAAAATAGCTCTCACAAACTTACAAAAACGAACTAACAAAATGTATCTAGTTTTCTTCCTCCTTATCCTGTTTTTCTTCCTCATGCTTGTTTGCCCATCTGATCTTTCCCAGAAGTTTTTTGAAAACCAGGACATTTTCATAATTAAAAAAATAAAATAAAAACAGCCAGGACAGGACGTGAAAACAGAAAATGTCCTGGTAAAACAGGACTGTTGGTCACCCTAACCAAGTCTAAAGTCAGTGGCGCGTTGCGTGTACTTTCAGATGCTATTTTATCCGCATGCTTGCAGATACAGAGTGAACAACGCGCATACACATAGTAGACGATTCTCTAATTTACACAGATGCATTTTACTTTTTACAAATGATGCATTATTATAAGGAAAACCATTTAAACACGAGGGAAATCATTGTTGTGTTCATGATGACGATAGGAAAAATAGGCATAAAGCATACACATTTGCCCAAATTGATATGCATAACCGAAGCT